GAAATCACACTACTAGAAATGTACAGATCCACAGAGGCGTCAGTTTTTAAACCTTTTATAATGCCTCACTCACACTAGAGAAAACAATGTTTGTAGACTGTGGCAAAATCAAAACTGCTGCATCAGTATGCACTAAACTTGGGAGCTTGCTGTTTTTGGAATAGTGGCTTCAATGATGGGGATCAGGTCTGTCATCTTTAAATATATGAAAATTGCTTACATAACCATGCATGACGTATCACTTTACTGGCATGTACAGTATATGTAGTAGACTACTATGTAGTATGTATAAACAGCTGTGTTTAATGGGCAATCATTTACGCACCACATCCATTATTTGCATGAGGGTGAGGCCGAAGGAAACAATGAGACTCTGAGAGTCATTCTGGACTGGTCTCACTAGTGGGTTGTATCCATTCATCAGGTCACTATACAGTCTGCGCTGGTTTGGCCCTTGATGAGAAACTACAGAAAAAAAGAGAAACAGGTAACCAGGACTCCAACGAACAATTAATAAGTAAAATAAATTATAATTATAAGCAAGAAAGACATTGTTAGTCACATCAAATCATTCCTTAACTTCCAGCAGCCATATTGCAAAACAATTCACTATGCCGTATTTTACATCGTAGAATATGAAGTTTTATTTTTTTAGATGTTACTAAAACCTGAGTAAAAACAGTGATATTTCTAATATGCTGAAGTTCAGACAGCGACGCTAATTTATATCAAACATCAAGTACACACTTCTTTGCGTATTGTGCAAACTGAAATAAGGATCCCGTGCAATGTGAAATGCACAAAAGTCATGTTCATTTATTAAACATTATAAACTCTAATGTGGCTGACAAAAAAGAAGTAAATAAATAAAAACATGACCTACAGCCTGTCTGTAGCTTTCTTTTCTACTTTACACACTGAGTTGCCTCCACCCTACACACACGCGCACACAACTGTAATGAGAAAGAGCCCCACCAAGTAACACTGCTACACTGTACCTTCACATGCAAGAAGAAGAAGAACGTCTGCACTGATCTACGGGACAATCCATCCAACAGCTGTTGACATCTTCTAGTCTGGACTGGTGTGACAAGACTGACACACAACCACTGCCCTTAGATACGCAATGCTGCCGTGGCTCAAATGATCAATAAAACAATTTATTTGAAGTGAAGTTTACATATATTTGTGGATGAGACTGAGACAGCTAATTGAATTTAACTCAGCCTCTCCACTCTCCTGCAGCCTTTTACATCTTCCCCTTTTGCAGCCACTCACTACTACTCCACTTCGGTTCTGGGTCAGTCTCACTGCGTGGTGCTGATCCACCTCCTGCTTCATTCAAGTTGTAAATCTCGCACTTTAGAATAATTTTGCAATTGATTTAATGCAACTAAAGTTGGTGTTGGAGTTATCAACATTAGCTGGGGTGGTGAAACAAATGCAGCCCAGACATGGCAATCTTTCAAATGCCATATTTGGACATGATTCATCTCCCAATCTCAAATCAGACCCGTCCCTCATTTTAACACACTCTTAGTTCCTCTCCTGAGTTATGGAGCGTTTTTGGCAGCATTTCTTCACTTCACTAATGGCCCAGTTTTCCTAAACCTCCTATGAGAAGCACATTATCCTGATGGATTGGCACAGAGCATACTGTCTATCTGCATATCCCTATTCCTCTGTTCTCTGTTGCATCCACTTCTTTCATTAAAAAAAAGGTTAGCTGAAAGCTTGTCTTTGTCCATATCCCAAGTGGATATCCCCCCACTCCTGATCTCACCGTAATCAAATTTCAATGCAAGGTGACATTAATGTGTTGTATTGTCCACATACTGTTATACACCCCAGTACCATGCTGTCCGAAAAACCACAGCGGGTCCACGAGAAATGAGCTTGGAGCCATAAAAGGGAGAAGGAAAGTCTCTCAACCTCTTAATCAAATTTATCAGCCTTAGTAATATCAAAAGGCTGGACAGGGCCTATAAGTACTCCACACATGCCCTGACATTTATATGTGCATGCACCGTATGCACACACACCAACAACACTTGCTTCGCTCTCAAAGAAACCTACATTAACCCCTGCCTGTAAAGTGCAGACTAAAGAGCCCCAGTCAGTGATTATTATTAAATGAATTGCCTCAATTAAAATATTCAGACTCAGATCAGATTTGAGTAAAACCGATGAGAAGCAGTATTCAATTAAAATAAAACATAAAGCATTGAAGATTTTGCACGGTTTGCTTATTTCCCCGTAGAAGGACCAGAGCCAGGATGGCAATATCTTGTGAAAGAAAAAAGACTGTTATTCTGTTTTGTTTTTTTAAACATAGAAGCATCTGTCCAGTCACTGTTTGCCCCAATCTCTTTATCACTCATAAACCACAATATTAGAAATGCCGTGATCTTGCAGCTCTTTTTATTCATTTTGCATAATATTTTTTCTAGTTACATCACGAGAAACCACACAGTTCAACAGCAAAAGAAAGTTCAGAGCTGACAGACAAATCAGCCACACGTAACATGTAGTATAAGACATTATGTTATGATATTTTGATACCACGGTAAGCATTTACAGGATATTGTTTTATACAGGAAAACTGTTACTCAATAAGGCCAATCTACTAGTTGTTTTTCTCTTTCTCTGTGACCCAAGAATTAATGTGTAGGACTCACAAGCTGGTACCCGAAGGTCAAAAACACCACAGAGATGAGACCACTTCCTTACTCCCATCCTCCCTTTTTCTTTATCTCCTGGAAAAGGCTCGTTAAAGGCTAGGTGGTTTGTTTCAGAATTCACTAATGAAAGAACTCTGTATTTTATGTCTAGGAGTGTATTTTGCTGGGATGATCATAAATTATAGCTGAACTGATAAACTACACAAGGGATACTTTGCTCAGAAGGCAGGAAGACGTTTCCTTATTTAGTCTGTACCGGTTTGAACTGGGAAAGCTGACACACGAACCTTTTTTTTCTCTATATAAACTGCTGTGTATCAAATAAACCTTTGAGTTGATTCTGGGAAAGCAATCTGAACAGTTTCTGTATCACTTTGTTCTCCTAACTGCTCCCGATATCGTAACTAACCCAGCTGAACGGCATACCTGAGTGTTACTTTGAATAATTAGGAGTCTTATAAGGAAAGGACAAACTCTGCTTATCGCTCACGCCACGGAGGAAACCCGGGACGGCAATTTCCTTCACATTATAACATGTTTGTTCTCTGCAAGCTGCATATCGGACCTTACTTTAGTATAGTAATATTACGTCATAGCTTCTGAACCCATGAAAAACACACTTAATATCAAATACTAATAATGATGACTATAACTACAGTCACACCGAATCATTTGCACACACACGCACGCACACACACACGCACACCACTTTCATATGATTGCTAAGGCATCTAGACCAAAAGTGTCTGAAACTCAGTGTTTGGCACAACAGGTCTGCAATCTCAGCTAGGGAACCGCTAAAATCAATCCACAGCGGAGCAAGGTTGAACGCACATTAACACGTCTCGTTCAATAACACACACACAAAAATTCTATTACTCCTAATCATTTAAACAATAATTGTTATTTTTAACATGCATGGCGCGCGATAGAGTTAATTAGCCAAATGAAATGCATGCAGACATACCTTTCACTGTGCAGGCGGTGACTGCAATAGAAAGCAGAAAATTTACTAAGTCCATGTTGAAACGCGTGAGGAGTGAAAACAGAAAGACTCTTCTGGATGCAGGAACGGGAGCGATAACACTGTGGGGCGGTGTGAGTGTGAGATGAGAGGGAATTCTGCCAATAAATAACTCCTCCTCCCAATGAAGAGCCGCTGTTTGGCAGCCCATTAATGATTTAAGCTGAAGGATCAAAACTTTCTGCCCACAGTAGAATTTTTTATCCTTACCTTTAACATATTTTGTGGTACTCTGTCGTTTTTACAAGTGAACATTTTTGACTTTCAACACTGTTGACTGGATCTCCGTGTCCCCTTTCTGTTTTTTTGCGCATTGTAAACTACACAAATGACTAAATAGGCTACACTAAATCTATTGAGTTTATATAATTTATATTTCGTTTAAATATATTGTGGTTTTATATCAACCCACACTACCTCTTGCGTAACCTTTTCAGTCAAAAGCACGAGGACGCGTCTGCGTAACTAGAGGCCATCTACTGGTCTGTAAAAACCACTACAATTATATTGCAGTTGTGGGATGGAGTCTGTTTAATTATCAGTTTAATGTTGCAAACACTGTACAGATTGTTTTTAATTTACCCCTATTTTAAATTCCTACACACAGAATGTGTTTAACATATCATTAAGACACACCAAGTAACTCATGCTGCTTTAGGATAGAAACTCTAACAGGGGTGGGCAATGAATTGTCCCAAGGGGCCAAATGAGTAACTGGGAGTTTTGTGAAGGGCCAAAACAATAAGCTGAGTTCTTCTCAATATAGATTTGACCTCTTTACAAGGTTATGGATATGGGCCTCCACAATCCTGGTTTCTCATGTGGCTCCTTGGAAAAATGTATTACCAACCTACCTCTCATTTATTTTAAAATTTCAGATGAGTAATAAAAATAATATAAAACAAAGACCCCCCCCCCCCCACACACACACACACACACACACACACACACACATCCACATTAGAGACAATTACAAAACCATTACTGGGCTACGAAAAGCAGCAACAGCCTCTTTGCCTCTCCTAGACTTGAGAGTCTTGAACTGTCCTAACTGTATAGGAATCACACATAAGCAATAAGATACGAAACATTAAAAGTCAGCACAGATTTCAGTCTGTAAAGCAACAGAAAACCAGACTGTCCTGATGCAACTGCAGTAAAAGCAATATTGAAATAAAGAGTTACACAGTAGGTCAAGTGTTCACATAGAAATTATTCACTGGAGAGAATACAGAAGACCTGATGTTGTCTTCACAATCACTAAGACACTCTGCTGCATTAAGACTTGCCTTGAGCATTAGGAATGGTGTTATGACATTGTAGGCCATGTGGAAATAGTCTCCAGCACTGGGCTTGTTCAGTGGAAACCACTCCAGAGGAAGAATGATCTGAAACATATGTAAGAAAATACTGGTTTCCACTGAAATTGAAAATATTGATGTAACCATCCATTTGCCTTTTTTTCCTTCATTAGATTTAAACCACAAGAGGTACGAAGAAATTGCACTGAGCCTTCCTACCATAACAATGGGCCTTCCAAAGTCTAATATCCAGTTCTGCACAGTGAGACACAGCCACAGGTCAAAGTGGAAGCGCTGCTTTTTCTTCTGTGGCACATTTTCCTTTGAAACACCAGGAGCGCTGTAAACATACAGTAAGTCATTGTAATAGAGCAAGCATTACCAAAGCAAAGGGCAACACAGCTGCCGAGCACTTAACATACATACATACATATATATATATATATATATATATATATATATATATATATATATATATATATATATATATATATACACACATACATACAATTCAGGGTTGAAGTGGAGCAGCAGGAAATCTCAGCTGACACTGGGTGAGAGGTAGGGTAAACAATGGGTAGGTCACTAACAAAGGACCAACAATCCCACCTCGCATTCACACCCGTTAACCTAACATGTATGTCTTTAAACTGTGTTTTCCTGGTTTTTAACCCCTTTAGTATGGAGGACCACGAGAGCCCTCCATATAATCCAGCTGCTAATTCAAATGTTAATCCCTGAGCTAATCTGTGAGCAAACAGCAAAGGGAAATGGATTTTGAAATGAGGAGTGGAATCGCCATTTTAAAATGCATTTTGAAAATCAGTTAAATTGGAATTCGAAAATGGTTTTTGAAATGAAGTTTTTTTAAAAATATTTTGAAAATCAGTTTTTTAATGAGGAATTCAAAAATGAATTTACAAATGCGGAATGTATTATACAATTCATTATTTAAGCACAGAATTCTGTATTTCGATGTGCGTGGCTCCTGAATCCTTACATTCATTATAACAACTTTGAACTTGATGACTAAAAAACGTCCTTATAAGTTCACTTATTTGCTTATTTATTTATTCAGGCTTCGAAGATTGTATTTTATAGTTTTTAATCTGTAAGACTGAAGTTGGTAATTGAGCTGCCTAGCCTACAAATCACAACTCGGGGTGAAGTGTGCCCTCTCCACTTCTAGTGTCTTTGCTGCAGTTTGATTGGTGGATTCTCCTGATGGGCGGAAACAAGGCGACAGCCCGGAAGCGACAGCGCTCGTGACCATTAACTGTACACAAAATGTTTAGGGTAGTTGAATCCCGCTAGCTTTCCACACCTGTGACCACGGAGCTGTATGAGTAGGTAAAGTAAACGAGACCATCGGCTGCCTACACGGAAACAACGATGCAGACTGTACGAAAGCGTCAAGGCAAGGATTTACACCTGAAGAGGTTTGTACTCTAAACATGAAGATGTCGCTGCTGTTATCGTCGCCTTGCTGAAGGGCAGTCGGTTCATAAACACAGAAAGCGTAAAGCTTAAAGAAACGAACGTCTGTAAAACCCGGAGAATAAATGTTTTCTACAGTACAGGATCTGCTTATCTCTTCTTCTCCTGCAAGTATCCAGGAACAGATGCTGGAGGCTGGACTGCGCGCCAAGTGAATGATTGGACGTACAAATGAAAACGGAGGCGCGCATGCTCCGTTTGATAGCGCCAGTTAGGCGTTATTTCAAGCCAAATGTTGTAGAAACAAAATCCTGGCTTCTTGCGGGGAAGCCTGTTGTTGTATTCACCTCGCTCTTGTCTTCAGGCTTTCTGATGACATGACAGGAACACCAGCTAACTCTGGAAAATCTCACACTGGCTGTGTAGCTGATCTGGATGTAACTAGTCTGTTTTCAGTCTTCAGACATCTGGCTAGGGTTGCCAACTCCCTGAAAAATAAATAAGGGACACCTCGTGGCCAGGGCCGGGCAACCCAGTTGTCTTCACCCTTCCCAGTGTGGTAGCTCTTTTTTTGTGTGTGAAATTATTTTTTAACCATTTGACTTGAACTTGATTTAAGCAGATGCATATTCTTTGTGATATCACCATATGGGAAACAAATGATCATTTAGCCATTTATTTTTAGCTCAAAATGACAACATTAACACAGTAAAACAGGTCTCGTTCTTAAACAGAAGCCTGTCATGCTTAACTTTTGAGAATATAAGTAAATCTTTCTTTAAAAGAACTCTGTCCTGCTTAACTTAAAATTATATAAATTAATAGAAAGCAATAGAACGAAAAATATTCTTGTAACAGTGCACATTTAGTGCATTTAGTACAGTTGGCTTCAGTTGAGGTATTATTTCAGCTTTTCTAAAGCTAATCAGCTGCTCCTGTTTGTAAACCCACTTGTTCCCATGATTACGCACCTTAACTCATCATCATTATTCATCTATGTATTACTTTTATGTATTAGTCATCTATTTGTTGTAATCATCTATCCTTGCAGTTGTTTATTACACAAAATAAATTATATTATTACACTTCTGGCCACATAGCGCTGATATTCGGCGTTTGTTTCCCTGTTGGCCATGCTTGTTGTTGTGGTCATCGGTTGTCTTCCGGTATTTTCTCCGTAAGCGACCTTTCCTCAACCAATGAGATGAGCGGTAATCTGACTTGTCATACTCGAATTGTCATAAGTGTGCTGTCAACTCATTGGTCACAAAGCAGGAGAGGGGCTGGGAATTATGTTTTCAAACAAAGTGTTAATTCCATTAACATTTATAGACTACTTTTGATTCTCACTGTATTACGGGACAAAGTGCGTCCCTTATTAGCTCAATACGGGACGTGTGCTTTTGTTTCGAAATACGGGACGATTCCGTTTTTTAAGGGACGGTTGGCAACCCTACATCTGGCCAGCAAACACAATCATGTAAAAAGAAGACAAAATAGATCAGGTCAAGCAAAAGCAAAAAATCAAAAGGGGCTATAGGAAAAGAACACGTGGAACTACAGCATTTGAGACCTTAAGTCATATAAAGCCTGACTTGTGTCTTTACAGGTCTAGACCAGTGTTGTCAAACGTCACAGGCCATAATCGGCTCTGCAAAGACTCCACTGTGGCCTACTGGATCCTTTGGAAAATGGGAAGGAGGGCATAAATTCTTGGACTATTAAATGCATAAGTTTTGAATGTTTTCCTATTAATAAAGCCCTCCCACATGGGCATCTTTACTACACCAAAGTAATTACAACTTTTACAATTGGTCCACAAAAACTGGGCAGTTTTTGTGACTCACTTACTCCTGTGAAATTTTATAATCACAGGGCAACGAGCTACCTCAATTCCTTTTGTAATTTCACACATTTAGTTGTTACAATTTAAGCTCAAAGAGTCAAGCTGAAAGATCGCTTTCATATATTACAGCAGCATTTCTTTATCATGTGGAAAAACTGACATGTACCATTGAAATTGCCTTTCTTTTTCTTATATTAATTAAAGCTCAGGGATGAAATGTTCAACTGAACTTCTTTTTCATTGACAGAAAGGGGGAGTGTCACTAGTCCAGCCCACTTAAGATCAAAGTGGGCTATATATATTCCATAATATATAATGAGTTTGAAATTCCTGGTCTAGACACATAGGTTAGACTGACACAGCTTTAAGCTGAATCAGCAGTGGTTGCTACTAGCAGCAGTATGTTGAACTGAAACCAACAAGTGGCTGCAAAAGTTTCCCAGCAGCTGAGTTTTGCAAAAAAATTTGTGTGGCTTCATTAATTTTTGCAGCTTCATGATCAATATGTCTGGATGGCAAGAAAAAGGATTTCAGGCAGATGCAGATGGTCACAGCACTCTGTGCAGTAAATACTGGTTTTGCTGGTGTTACAAGGGAGCCTGAAAGCCCATGGGGGATTTATCTGCACTCATCTTCCTGCTTTCCCAGTGCATATGTTGAACTATAGGGACTGTGCTCAACATGCTACAGGAAATTGCACAGCTGCACACAATAAACAGCAGGTTGGATAGTTCAGCAGTTTCACAGCTGCTGCATAATTATTACTCTGAAATCAAAGAGTGGAGGATGCAAGGGGGGTGAAAAGAGAATAAACTTGTGTTTTAAAATAACATTTTAAAATACTGTAGTTTTACCATCAATATAAAATACTCGAATTCAAGTAAGGAAACCACGTGCTCTTAACCTGAAATAAATGCAGTAACATGTCTGTTAAGTGCTCGGCAGCTGTGTTGCCCTTTGCTTTGGTAATGCTTGCTCTATTACAATGACTTACTGTATGTTTACAGCGCTCCTGGTGTTTCAAAGGAAAATGTGCCACAGAAGAAAAAGCAGCGCTTCCACTTTGACCTGTGGCTGTGTCTCACTGTGCAGAACTGGATATTAGACTTTGGAAGGCCCATTGTTATGGTAGGAAGGCTCAGTGCAATTTCTTCGTACCTCTTGTGGTTTAAATCTAATGAAGGAAAAAAAGGCAAATGGATGGTTACATCAATATTTTCAATTTCAGTGGAAACCAGTATTTTCTTACATATGTTTCAGATCATTCTTCCTCTGGAGTGGTTTCCACTGAACAAGCCCAGTGCTGGAGACTATTTCCACATGGCCTACAATGTCATAACACCATTCCTAATGCTCAAGGCAAGTCTTAATGCAGCAGAGTGTCTTAGTGATTGTGAAGACAACATCAGGTCTTCTGTATTCTCTCCAGTGAATAATTTCTATGTGAACACTTGACCTACTGTGTAACTCTTTATTTCAATATTGCTTTTACTGCAGTTGCATCAGGACAATCTGGTTTTCTGTTGCTTTACAGACTGAAATCTGTGCTGACTTTTAATGTTTCGTATCTTATTGCTTATGTGTGATTCCTATACAGTTAGGACAGTTCAAGACTCTCAAGTCTAGGAGAGGCAAAGATTTCAGCATTCCAGATCTTGTCATTCCTTTTCTGCTCTGCATGTTGTGACTGCTGGCCATGTTTTGATTTTTGATAGTTTAGTTTTCACCAATAAAAATCTAATTTTGGGCAGGCCCTAGTTAGAAAAACCTTCCAGGGATTACTGAGCTTGTTTAATACCTGCTTTAAGAGACTGTAACTCAACATGGCAACATTATATCCAACATCATTTTGGGTTAATTTTTTTTTCTCAGTTTCAGGAATCAGAATTGCATCAGTTAAAATGTTGTGTAATAATTTTGTGTTATGATTTTTCAGGTGCATTTTGAGGCAGACTATTTAGGTTCTTGCAAACCAACATAAAAACCCATAATTCAACGCCTGACTGGCAAAGAGACAGTGTTACTTCTAGTCAGTGTAATGACGCAAGTTGCATGCTTTTGTTAGAGGATGTAGGTCATCCGTGTGGTTGTGTTATGAAACAAGCTATTTGCCCCGTAATATCCATTACCTTTAAGGCAGATCTATATTTAAGAGACAGGAAGAACTAGGCAGGTGCAGCTGAATAGATAAAAACACAAACACACCTAGATAAAGTCAAAAACATATTCAAGAAAAGAAAAACGGCACATGTAGGCTGTGTGAAAAAAAGTCTCAGAGATAACACACAGGCGCTGTGGTTGAAGCCAGTTCTTAAAGGTGTCCCCAGAATAACTCTTTTAAGGTATACATGTTTGTTTCTGCTCCATTCAGCTGATTGAGCGCAGTCCGAGAGTGCTGTCTCGCACAGCCGTGTACCTCTGCATCATCACGTTCGTCATGGGAGCCAGCATCCACCTGGTGGGAGACTCCATCAACCACCGGCTCATCCTGAGTGGCTATCAGCTGCACCTATCAGTGAGGGAGAACCCCATCATCAAAGACCTTAAACCAGCTTCACTGGTAAGATGGCAAACAGCTAAGATCCATGGTGGGCTTAGTGGGAATACTGGAATACATGGAGAAGGTTGTCAAAGTGTGTCGTTGTATGTTATTTATGTAAGTGGGACAACTTCATGCATGCTGCTCGTACAAAAAATATTGTTTGTCTTCAGCAGTTTAAAAAAGCTGTTCTTTTTGAACTGAGAGCACACCGCAGAAACACGCGTCACCGCAGCTATTTAGATGCAGCAGACTTTATCCTGCTGTGTGGGAGTGGAGCTTATTTTTCTCTCTGCTCCTTCGTCGTCATCATCACATCTTTTATTGTCACATCGACCAGAAGCAGAACATCGTACCTTTGATAGTGTGGTGTTTGTCAACGCTTATATACTGTGGGTTAATGTAGCAGCACAACAGCAGTCATGTTAAGATTTTATACCCTGGCTTTATTTGTTCCATGTCCCTATTGCTGGAACGGTTCGCAGCCGAGTGTGAAGCAGCGGGAATGAGGATCAGCACCTCCAAATCTGAGGCCATGGTTCTCAGCCGGAAAAGGGTGGAGTGCCCACTCCAAGTCGGGGATGAGTTCCTGCCCCAAGTGGAGGAGTTCAAGTATCTCGGGGTCTTGTTCGCGAGTGATGGGAGAAGGGAGCCGGAGATCGACAGACGGA